CCTAAAAAAAAAAAAAAAAAAAAAAAACTGAAACGCAAAGCGATTTCTTCCCGATCTTTTAATCACAGTCCAAATTAGAATCGCCTTCTCAATATAGTCAAGGCTCGAGACATTTCAGAGCCCACAACCTTCCTTCGTTTCCTTTCTTCTCCTCCGACCCCTTGCTTTCCTTTTAGGGTTTACGCGCTCAATTTCAACTCAGAACCAGATCGTCTTCTGAATTCGATTAGTTTAGATAGTCAGCCATGGATTGGGGCAACGTTACTACAGAGGATCTGATCGACGCGCTTCGAGAGGTTGATTGGTCATCGCCTCCTCGACCTATCTCCGAGTTCTTCTCTAGATTCACGGTCCCCCGATCTTCCGCCAAGTGGAACAGCCGCCTCAAATGCAATCTCTATTAGTATGATTACTCTTTCCTTCAATTTATTCGAGTTACTGTATCTTTTTCTATTCTTAGGCACAATTTTTTTTTTTTTTTTCTGAGCCATGATTGTTCGAGTGAGGAAGATTTAACACACTGCGTAGTGCTTCTAATTGTAACGCCCTCCATATCGGTTTAGTTCGGTTTCATGAATCGAGTCCATAAGGAGCTATACGCTTTGGAAGCGAAATGGAATTTGATTACGCGGCTGCTTGAGTTAGTTAATTTGCTAGTTAATCAAACATGCCGAAATCTATATCTGCATTGCTCATTTTATTTCATTCAGTTTTCCTAGGAAATCCTGTCGTGAGTAATGCGTGACCAAAATAGTCGATCATGGCCTGTTTTAATTTACTTGTTAGACAAACATGCTGAAACCTATATTATGTTATTTCATTTTGTTGCTATGCAGTGCCTCGTTCACCCTACTAATTTGGAATCTTATTTTCTTGCATTTGCAGTTACCGAACAAACTACTTCATTATGATTGTTTTCATTCTTGGTGAGTGTGTAAACTGTCATATTTCTGCATTATATGCATACATTTCTTCTTATTGTTTAAAAATATGTACAGTTTTTCCTTAACTGTGGATTGTTGATTACAGCCCTAGGTTTTCTACGGAGGCCTCTTGCTATTGTTGCTGCTTTTCTCACGGCACTCAGCATCGCCTTTCTGAATGACAGGTGAGCTGATGGCTTGATATACACACTGCAGAGGACAATTAATATCATTAGCCTTTCTTGTGATGGGACTGTCGTTTATTATTTGGCCTCAAGTTTCTTCACACGGGATTGCATATATTTATTCTTTGGTGTTGTTTTCATCAAAATACCTTTCTTTGCTTTCACTTTTTATCCAGAGAATCGGGATTTATACGTACAATTTTTTTGCCAACGTATTATGATACTCTTTGTACCAGTTGATCAAGGAGTCATGTGTTAAAATGTAGATAATGTTGTGACGTGCATGGATTCTTTATTTTAATTCCATGTGAAGTTTGTTGTGACTGCCATATTTTTCTTCAAACATAATTTTTTTTAACCACAGTTTTGCAGGCACATTTAGTGAAAAAGTAACCAGAACTGTTAGACAATTCTCTCCACATTTGGCTGCAAAGATGAGACCTCCTCTCACGTAGGTATCTTCATGAATTTCCATGAATGCAATAAGCCATGACTTCTGATTTCATATTTCTTACATATCTTTCAGGCCTGTTATCCGTGGACGCCCGTCAGCTAAAAGAGCAATATACATATGTGGACGTCCTCGATGGGTTTTTTCCTTGATGTTCTCTTCTGGTAAAAAAATAAAAAATAAAAAGAATTACTTCTTATCTTTTATTGGTATGCTTCCATATAATTATAGAGGACCCAGTTCACCTTTGTTTAAGTACAGATATTATCTTGGAGTGCATCTTTCTGATCAGAAATTTTATGTTTTTTGAATTTGAATTTTAACATTATATATCCTATATGCTTTAAGTTTTCTGATTTATTTTCCCCATCTGATGTAGTGAGTTTCTTACTCTGGTTCATTTCTTGCGGTTTGTTGACTGTACTTTGGTCGCTTGCCTTTGGACTTCTCGGTATGTTACCTGCTTATAAAGATTTTTTTTTTTCTTCTTCTTTTTTTGCTTTTCTAAGCCTTGTACTTCATGGTTGATTTTCTCACCCCCTCCACCCCAACAATTATTTCAGCCACTTTGCTTCATGCAAGCTTCAGAACACCTAACTTGAAAGCACGTCTAAACACTTTCCGTGAGGAATTCCGTGCTGTCTGGCGCAATTATAGTGAACTGTAGTCATATAGACTTCGTAGAATGTGAGTATATTCTGCCTTCATTTTTATACTTGCTGTTTTGAAGTTTGTTGCTTCAAATGCATCTCCAAAGATGTATGCTATTAATTTTTATTTTTGTTAATTTCTACAAGGAATCGTTCTCTTTTGATTTCTTATATTTAGGGGTCGTTGTAGGAATTAGGAAGTCTATGATGCATTTGGTTTGTGATCTTAAATTTGAAAATAAGGGATTAAATTAAAAAGAACAAAAAAAAAAGTTTTTCTAAAATAAATGATGAAATTGAATTTCAATTTAAAAAGTTTCTCAAAGTACGTTCAGAAATATATTTGTAAACAACAAAAATAATTGTAGTCACGACTAAATATTTAGCTTTTTCTAAAATATTATTAATTCATTTATTAACATATTGATATTATAAATTTTGTAAGGTTACTATGATAATTTATATTATGTTATGCAATACTTGTTTTAATATTAACAAAAATGAAATGAGTTTTAAGCATGGAATAGTATATTTATAAAACAACTTATAATTTGTATATAATTCTCCATTTTCAAATTTTGAATGTGGAGAATTTTCACCATTTGAATCACAAAATTAAAAAAAAATAGTTGTATTAAGACAAATATTCCAAACAAAGATTGAGTGAACTGGAACAAGTAATAGATTCTGCATTGCATATTACACATTTGCTCAGAGCTTTAGGTCCAAGAACTGTCGATTTATTGGGTGTGATATTCATTGTTATTCTCCTATTATCTGTAGCCACTGTAGAGTTCTTGTAATCTCCTCTCCTCAGTAGGGTGTATATCACATCTTTTTATTGATGGAAGTTCGTTAACCTTTTAAAAGAAAAGGTATCATGTAGTATTTGTGTTAACTTTATGGCTTCTTTTTGGAAATTAATTATGTTTGAACTTAGAACTAGAACTTCACTGATGTTATGATTCTTGTTATATTCTCCCTTATACGAGATCACATCTAGTTATTGGAAAATTAATGTTGCCACATTAAAGAATGTAATGAATGGCGGTATTTGCTAATAATTGATAGGTAAAAGATAGTTGTGACAGTCCAAAATTTTAAGGCACTGCAATGATAGCGTGAGTTTGTATTTGTGTTACCTCAATTAGTTATTAGAGTATTATATTTAATTGATTAAATCTAAACTTCATACTGAAGTTCGGATCATTTTTCTTACAAAGATTCCCCCCTCTCTTAGTTGGGGAATTGGAAGCTGTTAAGGCTTCTTCTAATGAAAAACTATTTTTCACTGCAAGTTGAATCATATGTAGTAGACAAATGACTGGTAAAATTCTCTTGATTGCTATGCTTGCATGTGAATTTGGTGATTTGCAGTCAGAAAAAGGTTCTAATTAAGACTTTACGGTGAGGCCATTCAATCTCAGATGTCTTTCGTCCATCTGGCATTCTTATGCCAGATGCAATGCCGAAAACAATATATTCTGCCATTATGTTTCGTATAAAGTAATAACATGAGCATAGTTCATCATTCAAGTATCATAGAAACAGATCAGTAATAAATTATGCTGTTCCTTCAGTCCTTTGTCGTCTGCTTCTACTTTCCTTGAAAATTTTGTTTTGGATTATATTGCTTTCGCTGATTGAATAAATCTGATGTAAGCTTGCTACTACTAAGATTGGTAGTAACTACAATAATCTGTATATCTGTACAGGCGTCCTCTGTTAATTATGGTGTTCATACTGTAAATCTGTGCTTCACCCGACTGCTTTGCTGCTTTCTCCGAAGAACAATTTGCTAAGATGGAAAGTCTCCAAGTGACGACTGCCAGAATTTGCCAGATCTTGCAACTGTATGTAAATTGTGGCTCATGTTTCTGGAGATGTAATTGTTTCATTCGTCATCTGTATTGTGAAGACTGATGATAGATACAATGGAAGGTTTTCAGTGAAGCAGACTGATTAGTCTTTTATTAGAACGCTCCTCATTTCAATGGCCCATAATAGTTATGAACTCTATTACTTCTTATTTCTTCAAGAGCGAGTTCGTGAGCAGATTGTGGTTGAATAACATCTGTGCCCTTTAAGTGCTTCCCGTTTCAGTTTGTTTGGAACTCAGTTCTTGTAATTCCACCTCTCGGGGGGTTTTTAGCTACCAAAACCCAAAACTATTGCCGAGAATTTATTTCCACTAAATCTTTTTTTTTTTTTTTTTCATTAGTCTATGATGATTTTTAGTAGAGAAAATCCTTTTGAAGTTTTTGCTAGATGCCCAAAATCTAGAAATGGTTTCAAATGAGGACAACCACAGTCTACTTTCATTTGAGTTGCTTTAATGACCTTTTTACTTTTTTTTCTTTTCTTCCCTTTTACTTTTTTGTTTATGCAGCCGCCAAGTATCAATTACCTTTGCCTGGTTGATTAGAGGTTGCTTACAAGAAACCAATGCCGTAAAATATTTATATAAATATATTCTTAAACTTTTGGATAAGTTTCAATTATGTTCTTAAATTAAAAAAAATGATTTTGTAAAAGTATCCTTTTTAATCTTTCAAATAAAGGGTCGTGATGATCCCAAAAATGTTCAATTTTTGTATTTTCTGAAAAAATGAGCTGATATTTTGGAAGAATTATATTTGGAAAGAATATTTAAATAAATAATATTTTGTCCTAAGTTTCAAATTCCGTTGTAGTCTAGTTGGTTAGGATACTCGGCTCTCACCCGAGAGACCCGGGTTCAAGTCCCGGCAACGGAAACTTTTTTCATTCTTTTATTTTTTGAATTTAAATTTCTCTGAAAGTTATTTCATTAAATTATGCTCAGATGAAACGTAGAAAAGAATAGAAAATTATTGTTTTGTGCGGAAAATTTAAATTTGAGATGCCATAATGTTCGAAGGGCAGGGCATATAGTCTCTTATTTTTGTGATGACCTTCCGATTCCACGAGAAATCACAAGCTTGTGTCTAAGATTGGTACTCTCCTTGCCCAATTGGCGGTTAAGAGTTTATGGGTGTCTCATGTTTCCTGTTCAAAACACATGTAATGTAACTCAATTCTTTTCAACTCCCTGTACACATAAATTCTTCACTGTTTCTCATGTTTCCTGACTTCTTGTATGCAACACTGCTGCTGCCGTTAGTTACCCGATGTCACACAGTTCAGGCTTGGCGAAGACTAAGATCTTCACCAACTAACATTCATGCTTGAAAAACCAAAACCAAAACCAAATTGACCTACATCATGACCAATCCTTCCACCTATTCCAAGGACAATTCAATTTCCGAACATTTCAAGATGAAGGAAATCCTTAAGAATTGATAGAGTGGTTATCGGACTCAATTCAATTTCAAAACATTTCAAGATAGCCCGGGATGTGGTTATCGGATTGATAGAGTCGATTCAAGAACTCTAAGGATGTGAAGTACATGGAAATCCTTAAGAATAACAGACAGAAGTTTGCTCCCAAACTGTTTTAAATAGATGAAGGAACTATCCCTTTAACCGGATGATTTACTTTTTATATAGTTCTCAAAATCGTAGGCAAACCTTCCCTACGTAACATCAATCAAAATACGAACCTAAATGATGCTGTAATAAAAGAGTTCATACTCTACTCCGAAAAAGTGGGGCTGATTAAATTTATTTCTCAACAAAATTCTTCAAGTTCTTCAGCCACATGGAGTACTCTCGGCTGTCTTTGTTGACCATGTACTCGTGCAAGAAATTTGTTGTGCTGGGTTTGATCCCACGAATCTCAAGATATTTGTGGAAAGCTTTCTGCAAATTCTCGTCCAAATCTCTGCAAATAAATAAAAGGGAAATCTTTATTTAGTGAACAAATTTGCTTAAGAAAATGAAAAGAACAAAGCACAAAGCCCAAGTAGACTAACTGGAACTCAGGTCCTTCGTATGCAAGCTGGTCTTCAGAACCATCAGCTTTCTTGATTGACAAATGATCTATGGATATTTCGTCAGGGAAAGCGGTAACACCAAATTCAAGACATTCTCCACTTTCCTTGGAAATACTCACGACCAGTGGAATGCTGGATTCTTCACGAGTCTGCTCATCGTTATCCCCCCCTTCATCATTATCCTCATCTTCACCTTCAGCTGCAACATTAGGCATATCAACTTCAACTTTGATAATCTCATCCTCGTACTTTCTGGTGAGTGATATGGTTCTTTCTCCAGGATTGTCTTGGATTTCGAAAGGAAACTCATCAGGGATTTTGTCTACCTGCAATACGTGAGCATCCAACATTACAAACTTCCAATGACAATATTCAAAGAGAACCTGCTCTGTAAAAATGTCCTCTCCATTGTGTAGCTCATTGGATTCCCATAGCTCACTAAGTGGAAATATTCATCGGATCTTAACTAAAAAACTAAAATTACCAATTCAATAGGTCATTGATGGCTTGCAATTCAAAGGGAGTTTGAACATTGGTTCATGGGCACAATCAATTCTCCAGTAACATTTTCAATTTGAAAACAAACAACGAGTAATAACAGGAAAATGGCTATAGCCAAAGAAAATCTAATGATTTCAACTATCAAACTGCCTTTCCACAAAACAGAAAAATAACAACAAAACGAAACACCATTAAAGGAAAAGCCATGAGCATGAAGAACCTTGATTACGAAAAAATCCGTTCAAATATGCATGAAGAAAGCACAGTTTCACGAAAAAAAAACAATAATTTCACAGTTTATAAGTACAATTCCTTCTACTTATGCAGAAAGCACACAGTGCCTTGGCGAGGAACTAGGAAATATGTAAAAGCATTAAAGCACCAGCTATAAATTCTAGAAGGTTTTAATGGAATGGATTAAAGCAGATATTACAACCCTCTACGAGATATCTTAAATTCTAAACAACACGAACTCAAATGTTTCTTGCAAGAGAGCTCAAATATTAAAAGCTAAGGCTTTATTAAATAACCCTTCCGTTTCATTTGAGGTTTCCGTTCTTAAAAATTACGTTCGCTTTCTTGTTAATTTGTTAGGTGTATCTTTCACCTTTCTTAGCAAAACACATAAAAAAAGAAACAATTTTATATAGATTTCGAAAATTGGCTCAAGGAAGAAAAAAAAAAATTCAAAAAACAGAAAAACAAAAATCAAATGGGACTGAATGAATTCTTATCAATTTCAAAATTTAGCTCAAGGAAAAAAATCCTAAATCGAAAATTTTGATAGTTTAAGTTCTAAAACCCACTCACAAGTTCAATTTATATAAGCATACAAAGATATCCGATCTCAAGCACAAAGGAAAATAGCAGAACAGAAAAATCAAATCCGGTACTTAAGCAACAGCCAGAGAACTTACGCTGTTCGGATCATCTTCCGCAGCACACTGAATCTCAGACTCAAGAACGTTAAGAAGACTAACGTCGGCTTTGTTCCTAGCAGATGCGGCCGAATAAGATCGAAGAAACGGGTGAAAGAAACTGCGGTTAAGATCTTGGCTGAGATTGCGCTTCCCAACAGTGATGGCCGCAGAGATGGCATGGTGGAAGCTTCTCGTAGTAGCAATAGAACGGACGGCGAGGGGCAACACCAACGAGGACGCTCTGCGGAATATCGAATTCAACGCCATTTTTTCCTTTTCGCCTGTCGAGGTAGACGAAGAAGTCTTTGCAAAGGCTGTAGGGTTTTGCGAGCTTCAAAGGGTTTTACCTTCGTATATAAATATTCGTTTTTTTTTTCCCCTTCTTGATGGGCCGGGCTGAAATGACCTCGTAATGGTACCCACTTGGGCCCAATTAAAAACGGGCTCTAACCCACAATCATATGGCCCAATTACATGGCTTCCCTTTATATCATCGCAAAGGTTATTTAATTATTTGTTTGTTTTTAATTTTTAAATTTTAACTATTATTTAAATATTTTAAATATTTTTAACCAGTTTTAGTTGGAGTACTATGGATTTTGGTCTCTCTTTATTTGTTGGGGTTCTTTGAATTTGACATCTAACTACTCCACCAGTCACAAAATCAAACAATAACTAATTAGAACTAAACAAGCTTAATCGCCAACCATTATTTTAATCAATAATATTCACACATTTCCAACTACAGAATTCCAAGTGCAGCTGCCATTTGGCTTTCCCAACACTTGAAAACACACAAAATTAAACCCAGAAATTACAGCTCAAACGAATTTAACGGTTTTTTTTTTTCTTTTGTCGGATCAGGCGGCGACTCGACGAGGGGCCAGCGGGCGGAGCGGCGACTGAACTCCGGTAGCAACGAGAATCTGGGTGGCAGTGGAAGAGGCGGATTTCGAAGGTGAGGTGGCCGTATATGAACCCTCTGATTGGAAAAGGAATCGGCCGGAATCGCCGCTCGGAAGTCTGATATACGACGCCGACGGCGAATCGCTAAGCCAAGATCGGATCGGCGGGACTTGTTTGTCGTTCTTGTAATGAACAATCGCTCTGTAAACGAAGGGAATTAGGCCTTCCATTTCTGTGAGAGAGAGAGAGAGAGATTGCGGGAGAGACCTTAAGAAAATGGGAAAGAGGATTGGTTTTAAAAAATGGGGGTGATGACGTGGCGTAATAGGGTTGGAGGCCAGGTGTTCACGCTAAGCCACGTAAGACTTGGAGAAGAAACCAGCCCAATTTGGCCCAATTTGTATGGACCCAAACTTGGCCCAATTTGTGAAACTCTCGGCCCGTAAATTTGGGCTTACAAATTTTATTATCAATAAATTAGCATTATTTTTATCTTATTATTATTATTATTATTATTATGGTTACCATTACAATTCATTTTATAATGTTCGCATGTTTACAAATATAATGGCCATCGTTGACTTTTGCCATATTTGAATGTTTAATTGACTACTCAAAAGGCAAAGCACCAATTCACAATGCATTTAATTAATCCTACAAAAAAAAAAAAAACATTATATCTAATTAATAATTAACGAGTTGACCTTATAATAATAATAAAATATATATACCCATTGTTATGCATTACTTTGATTATTTCAAGGAGAAATGATTGAAAAAGATCCAAAACTATAGTAATATTTTAAACGTGTAATAAAAGAGAAAAGTTTTAGTGTAACAACCAAAATCCACTGTTAATAGATATAAACATTTTTTTATAAGAGTGTAAAAATCCTTCATAGTAGATGTGTGTTAAAACAATGAAGTTGACGGCGATACGTAATGGACCAAAGCGGATTGCTAATGGTAAGTTCGAGCTGTTTAAATGGTATTAGAGCTAGTCACCGAGTTATGTGCTAGTAAGGATACTAGCCATAATCTTACTTTTGTTTAAGAGTAGAACGAAACAATTTTTTAATAATGATGTGGAAATCTCTTCCTACTAAACACGTTTTAAAATTGCAAAACTGACAGTGACACATAACGATGTTAATGGTAGACTTAGAGATATGATATTATCGAGTTTACGATTTTAAAACGCGTCTAGTAAGAAAAAATGTCAACTCATGGACCTCACGTGTCTTAAAGTTCACTCCAAACCAATCCCGTAGAATCGAACTTTTTGTTTCTCTATTTTTCACCCAATCTCTCATTGCGATCCTTTCAATTATGTCTCTTCTGCATGGTCCCTGCCGTACACTACATAAAGCAGAGGTATCCCTATCTTTGTAGGGCACCCTCTCCACCGGGCTCCGACCCCCCACCTTTCCTTCCTTCCCAAGCCTTTCCCTCCCCTCCTCCTGTCCCATTCATCACTGCCTTTCCTTTGCCTCCTTTGCATTAACAATTAACCTCGGTGGGTATTATCTGGTCTTTTAATCTTAATTTTAAAATATATTATTAAAACTTGATGGCATCACAGCCGTTGAATTGATCAAAGCCGGAAAATGATATTTCCGTAGAATAAATTCAATATAATATTAATTTAATCGATTCCTCTATAATTTAAAATACTTTTCTTGAAAAATATATATTAATTTGATTTCATTATGTATTTCAAAGTATTTAATATAATTATTGATGCGTTACATGAATTAGTTCAACGAAATGACGTGAAAATAGTTTGGTGGAGTCGGCAAGAAAAAGGCATGTGATATTATATTTTATAGTTTTTTAAGTAAATTTATTGAAAATATTATCTTATTTGTTTGTTGGATGGCTGTATTTATTTGCAATGATGCAAGCCAAAAAGAATTAATATAAATATCATACAAAACTATGACAATAATAATAATAATTATTACTTTTCATTTTTAAATTTAATTATAGCTCATATTACATTATTTTAAATCCATAATCTTGCATAGGATGACTCTAACATTCTAAAATATTGAAGATATTTTAAATTTAACAATTTTTTTTTTAATAAATTCCAAGTTTAATAATATTTTTTAAAATAAATTTGAAAGTTAATAAACAAAATTAAAATATCTCAAAATCTATTTCCAAAATTCATGTTTATTTTGATTGACCAATTTACCCTTACAAAAAGAAGCGGTAAAAACATGATGAGGCGGGCCAGACCGTCCATCCGGACTCCAGAAGTTGCAAAAAGTAAAAATTTATAAAAGATTAGAATCCGGATGGAAAGAGAGGCATAAGGTGACTGGTGACCGGTGGCGGAGGTTGGGGTATATAAATAGCAGGATCGCGCTTGAATTGGAAAAGGCCAGTTTGGCAATCGGCCGTTCCATGTTCCCATCCAAAGAAAGAAAGAGACAGGCTATGGAATCAACCGAGTTTGAACACTCCTATTGTCTGATTCTGAAGCTATTCTTTCATCAAACTGGTAACCCTCTCTACTGTTGATTTGTTTCCTACAAAACGGGAGCAGAATTCTTTTTTGTCTCATGCATTGATCTCAGCCAAAATGACAAACTCAGATTCTTTTGGCATCTAATAATCTGATCATATGTTTTTTCATCAATCCAGATCGCCACGAGTTGAGAATTCTGTTAACTGCAGTATTAGAGTGATTCTCTTGCCTTGCTGATTGGATCTGCTTCGTTTTCCTTTTGATTTCTGATGGAGATTGAATGCCAAATTGTGAATGAAACTGAGCCTTTGCTTCATTCTTGTAGGTTTTAGCTCTATTAGAGTTGCTAATCTTTGATAGTGCTAGAGTAGTGGAGGAAGGGGGCGGGGGGGTTTGTTCAGCGATGGGATTATGGCTATTAGCTTCAACTGGCCCACCAATTAAACGAAGAGCGGGTCTGAGAATAAAACAGGCGGGTCGAAGTTCATATAGCGGCAGCTAGGGAATCCTTTTTTCTGGTTTTTCTTTATTTCGTTTCTTTCGAATTTGTTCTGCATATTTGTGTGCGCTGGAAGAGTTAGCTCTTAAGCGAAGAATGGAAACTTCTCTCAAGCAGCTGTTGGAAAGCCTTTGCAACAATTCACAATGGATTTATGCTGTGTTTTGGAAGATTAAGTATCAAAATCCTTCGTAAGTTTCTCAATTTATTTTTTGTTGTTGCTCAATTCCATTAACTGTTTGTTTAATTTTGAACACATGGATTATCATCAGGATATTGACTTGGGAAGATGGGTATTGCAATTGTTCAAAATTGGAAAATCATATGGGAAGTATGACAGAGTGTAGGATGATTAACGAAAGGGAAGAACATGTTTCTTCATACTATGGAACAAATATTCATAATGGTGATTCTGGAGGTTGTTCAGTTGGAGCAGCAGTGGCTGATATGTTTTACCTTCAATATGCGCTGGGAGAGGGGTAAAATCCTATTTTATTGTCATTTTCTTGCAAGCCGTGCTTTCTTCCGCTTCTTCTAACAAAAATTGATAATGATATGCTTGAATTTGGCAAATATTTACTTCACTTACTACTTGCTAGTTCTAGTCTATGTTCGGAATTTTCGTTGCTTAATCTTAAAATGAAGGTTTTGAGGACTTGATGCAGATTTCATTATTGCCATGGCTATCATCTCATGCTACCATGGACTTTAGTTTGCAGTTGTGGGTCCATTACGATCAGTCCTTGCAACCTTCATATTTCTTAGAATTATTTTAGTGAGTTAATAGTGCTTAAGATGTACTGTTTTTTCAAATATCTTAGTCTACATGCCTAATATTTATATTATTCAAACCTTACATCAGGACGGTGGGCAGCGTGGCAAGTTCTGGAAATCATAATTGGGTTGTCCTTGAAAATCTTTTTACCAGCGATTTACTCTCGGCTTCTATTTATGAGGTGTGTGTGGATTTCACTTTGGTTGCCATATGAGAAGGAAACATGTTTTAGTTCTCCAAAAGTTGGGCATAACATAATTTAATGTGTTTATGCTGCAGGGTCCTACTGAATGGCTACTTCAATATGCATCTGGTATCAAGGTACTGTAATTTTGATGCCACCTCATGTTGTTACCCATGATTGCATTTGACAATTCCTAATTTTACAACACATTATTGAGAGTTACTAATACAACTGTTCTAGCTTGCAATAACCGTGTTTGAACATTCGATTAGTTCTCTATTTGCGTATAGGACATGTTATTGCTTTCAACTAAAAGATCCAATATTCATTTGCAGACTATTCTATTGGTGCCTGTTCTTCCTTTTGGAGTGTTGCAGCTTGGCTCGTTGCAAATGGTGTGTATTTTCTAAACTTTGGTGTGTGTGTCAAAAGTTCCGTTTTATTAAATATTTAGCCTATTGATTGTTAAAACTCTTCGGTTATAAAACTTTGAGAAACAACGACTTGATTCCTTCCTGCTCAATTGAATTGCTCTACAACTTTTCATCTCATGCTCGCCTTTCCTGTCCTATTAAATCTCAGCTTACCGAAAATCTGTCGATGGTTGGTTATATCAAAGACAGAGTCAGTGCCATTAACTCTGTTGATGGAAATGCTACAAGTGTTGCTTCAGACAAGGGTGTTTGGCCTCTCTGTGCATCAGTTGTACCTAGTCCCTTTGGGAGCTTGGATGATCCAACAAACGTTACCAGTTGTATGTTTCAGGCTGAAAATCATGGGGCTATTGATGACGTGAAGCCACTTGTGTCAACTTTTAATCAGTTTGTAACCAATCAAGATGTACTGACTGTATCTAGAAGAACTAGACCCGAAACTCTTCACAGTGAAAAAGGACATAAAGGTGAATTAGAAGGGACTACTATGGAAGAACCATTTGCTTCACTTTATCAATCTATTAGAGATAGTGAAGTAGAATTTTCTGATTTATTTTGTCTGGAACCACTGCTAGCTCCTTGCAGTCAATTGAGAAACAATGAGACTGGATTGTTTGAAGGGAACCCCCATAGTTATCACTCTTGTTCTGTGGACAATGTAGTTGGACAACAATTTGGACATAATCTCGTGAGCAAGAAAGAATATGGCTCTGCAGATAATTTCTTTAGCTTTCCTGATGACTGTGAACTACTGGAAGCACTGGGATCAGCATTGCCTGCACATAAACATACTAATGAGCTTGCACATGATTCATCTAGCTCAATCAAAAACACAACCTCAAGTTTGATGTGCAGCAGTGATTTCAAGGAAGGTGATCTTGAGCATCTCCTGGAAGCTATGATAACTGCAGATGATACTTTTTCGAATAACACAATCAATGCCAGAATTTCCTCCCCTGTGGTAGGAAGATCGGGTCTTTCTGCAAAAACATGTTGTCAGTCTGAATCAAGCGCAGAAGTGGTGGATGATCCAGCCCTTTGGATCTTTCCTGAATCTAAGGTGACTGAAACAGGCAGGAAAAATTTGACTAGTTTGTCGACATCAAACTCTCTAGTTGTTAGTGCACGGGAAGAAAATAATTGTGACATTACTAAACATAAGAATGGGATGAAAAGTTCCAATTTTCGCCGACGGATCAAAGTTACTTCTAAAGCAAGACAAAGGCCAAGGGATAGACAACTGATCCAGGATCGTATAAAAGAGTTGCGACAAATCATTCCAAATGGTGCTAAGGTGGGTGCCTTAAGAACTGCTGCAGTGTGTCAATTTATGATTTCTTTACTTTTTTTCCTTAGTAATTTTGCCTTTTTGTCTAATGGTAAACAGTGTAGCATTGTCGGCCTCTTAGAGAAAACCGTAATGCATATGTTGTACTTACAACAGGCAACCGACCAAGCTGAGAAGCTGAAGCAGCTAGCTCAAGAGGTATAAGAAAAGGGTTGTGCTCTACATCAAAATAATGCCTTTTAGGCTTAGAATTTTGTATATTACCCGTGCGCTAACATGCATTCAAATGGCTTCACAGGGTTCTAATTCTGAGTATTCCACTGTTCTGGAAAATGAGGATTCTCAACCGAATGGGGCTAGTTGGGCTTGGGCGTTTGATATTGGGAGTGATCTCCAAGTTTGCCCCATTGTTGTAGAGGATCTAGAATACAAGGGACACATGCTTATAAAGGTTTTTGTTTAATTCCTTTCAAATGTCTTTTCTTGAAAGCTACTAATTGTCTTTTAATACCATGTATCGATATCAACATCCTGTAGATACTATGCGACGACATGGGACTGTTCTTAGAGATCTCTCGAATACTCCGAGATTTAGAGTTAACAATATTGAAGGGTGTGATCGAACGCCATTCAAACAACTCTTGGGCTCATTTCATCGTCGAGGTGCATGGTTTATACATCTATTCAAATGCAAAAGTAAAGTTTTCGAATCGGACTGAAACTTTGTCTACTTTTTTTACAGGCTCCTAGGGGCTTTCATAGAATGGATGTTTTCTGGCCTCTACTGCATCTTATCCAGCGTAAAAGAAATCCCGTCTCAGGTAGAATCTGAGCCTCATCCTCCATTTTAAGCAGTTATGATGAAGTTGGTCGAGAGTGAAACATTTGTTGTTCATTAAGTAATGTTTTCCTTGTTGTATAGTATGCAACTGAGATTCGTATATACTATAATATCACATATATGAGATTTTCATCTTATTGTATGCAAAATGGTTGAGAAATATAGGTCTGAAGGCTTTATTATAAGTTTATCATGACATTTTCTTAATCTTCTGAGTAAGGATCGAGTTTAGTTTTCATTTAGTCCACAAATAAATTTTATAGGATTGTATGTTTCTACCCGTGAGTTTTCACTATTAATGTTCACTTCTAGTAGTTGGTGCTAACTTTTCGTTAACCAATTGTAGATTTTTTTAAAAAATAGTTGTAATAGTGATAAAAATTAGGAACAATTAAATAATTGAATTATAATTAATTAAAAAAATCAACATAAATAACCAAAAATTGAGCATTCAATAACACAACGAACATATTAAAGAGGAGTGAAGTTGGGTTGGACGAGAATGACATGAAAAGCTTAAAAGGAACTTGATACGATTAGACCAAACAGAAGGGTTCGAAGGATTTCAAGCGTCGGGGATGGGGAAAGCCGTCACAGTGTGGCCTCCATCAATACAGAAAACTTGTCCAGTAATATAAGACGCAGCTGGAAGACACAGAAAGGCAACCATTGAAGAAACTTCATGCGGCTCCCCAGCACGTTTAAGAGGTGTTACTGACAGCATGTGGTTCATTACTTCTACATGGATCGGATCATCCTGAAGAAAATGCGACAAAAATTCAGCAATAAGTTTGTAGAATCCAACCAGGATGAATTTGAATTGAAATTCTTACAGTGGGAGGTTTCACAAAGCGAGTTCTGATGATCCATGGAGCCACTGCGTTTGTACGGATGTTGTCTTTGGCCCATTCGCATGCTAAGTTCCTCGTGATTTGGTTTATGGCAGCTTCATCAACAAATCCATTATAAGAAATAGTCCAAGCCCACTATTATAAGGAAGCTTTGTTATAAAGAAAAGAGAGGTTTCCAAACTATTATAAAGAAAGAAGAGATTTATACACCTTTATAAGAAAGAGAAGTTTCTATACCCTTATAAGAAAGCTTCATTCTCCCTCTCCAACCAATATGGTATCTCACAATCCACCTCATTGGGTCCAGTGTCCTCACTGACATACCATTTTGTAACAGCCCAAACCCACAACTAGCTGATATTGTCTTATTTAGACTTTTTTTTACGATCATATCTTCTAACAGTGGACTTCAGTTGTTATAAATTATATCAGAGCTAGACACCGGGCGGTGTGCTAACGAGAACGCTAGACCTCAAGGGTGGTGGATTGTGAGATTTCACCTCGATTGTAGAGAAGAACGAAACATTTCTTATAAGGGTGTAGAAGCCTCACCCAAGAACGCCTTTCTAAAACATTGAGATAAAGTACAGAAGTAAAAACTCAAAGATGACAATATTTGCTGCGGTGGACGTTTCGGAGGTAGAAAAGGTAGAAAATTGTGAGATACCTTTGGAAGCAGCGTAGGGAGTAGAGTATGGAAGGGACATCAAGCCTGCAACAGAGGACATGAAAACGATGCTTCCATTACCAGAAGCTTTCATCAAAGGATGAGCGAGTTGGCTAAAATGAAACGACGCCTCAAAATTGGTACTCATAACACTCGAAAGCTCTTCCTCTGTAACTTCTAAGGAGCTTTTGTACGCAGATGTCCCAGCATTATTCACCTGAAACACCTCAAAAACAGAGCCTCATACTAAAACACTTACACATCCATTATGAACACGGCATTTTTCTCATTTTTGTTACCAAAATGTTGAGACTGCCATTGAACAGAGACGACACGGTTTCCATCAGCCGCTTCCTCTGTTCTCTGCTATGCACATCGCACACAGACCCACTTACATTGAGGCCCATTTCTTCCCATTCTTTCAGGCATTTGTCCAAATCTCCCTGGCTTCGCGAGCATGTGTGGACAATGGCCCCAAATGCTGCAAGTTCTTCCACCGTGGCTCGCCTGAAATAAATGGGTTAGAACGGAGACACCAAAAGGGAAAGGAGGAGCTTGAAATTATGAGTACCCAATGCCGTGGGTTCCGCCGGTGACAAGAGCGGTCATCCCCTGAAGGGACCATCTTTGATCTCTGCTGGTGTTCGCCATGGATTTGATTAAGACATGGAGTTAGGGTTAGACCCATTTTAATACTCACTCACTGCCCTTTAGGCGACCACGTGATTCATGCTTTGGGCGCCAAATGGACTTTAAGTTTTGAATATAACCATTCTTTAGAAATGGTTCTAAACTATTCAGAATCCTCTGAAAACCATATATTGGATTTTAGTGGTGAATTATCAATCAAAAAAGAAGAAAAAACACCATATTTGAATTTTAATGCATTTCATAAATTTACAGTTTTCTTTGTTTGAAGAAGAAAATTGAAAGCCATTAATGTTAGGAGAGTTATATTCAATTTTAACTGTTATTGTAAGAATATATAAACTCTACTCCTTCCCTTTGTTTTCACCACTCTTTAACTTTTCTCTCCTATCTTAATCTTGAAGGGTTGGATCTGTCTACTCGGGATCCATTTTTTGTGTTATTATTTCTGCAAGTTCAAAGACTCCAACATTCACACATTACTTGAGCAATACAAAGGGTAATATTTCTATCTCCTCTCCTTAAATTCATCTTACAACTCAATTATCTCCAAAAATAAAATCATAAAAAAACCCATAAATAATTTGATGAATGTCTTTTGATATACATGATTCCTCATTTTGCCTCAATTGTTTGGCAGGAGTTTGATTCATTAATGGGATATCAAATCCTTTTGATTTGTGTTCTTGCTTTCATCCCAACCATTTTGGGTCGGGACACAATCATTTTGGGTCATGACACAACAATGGGTACAATTGTGATTGATGGAACCAAAACGATAGCAGAAACAGATGAAAATTTCGTTTGCTTAACTTTAGACATTTGGCCTCACGATGAGTGTCGTTGGTCCAAACTTTGTGTTTGGGATGGTCATGCATCGATGCTCAATTTGGTGAGAATATACATGAAATCAAAAGAAAACGAAAATGCGGAACTAATAGTATTTTATTAATTAATTCTCTCTTCTTTTTGCTCCAGGATTTAACTCTTCCTATCCTTAACAAAGCAGTTCAAGGTTTCACTCACATTTACTCTTTTTGTAGCATATTGTTTCTTCGTAAAAATCTACCCTAATTTGCTCTCTATCATTAGCTTTCAAGTCGGTAAGGATTAGAGTGGGAGGTACTTTGCAAGACAAATTGATCTATAACGTCGGGACTGGCTTCAAGGGAACCTGTCACCCATTTCAAGCAACCGTAGGTTCGCTATTTGACTTCTCAGCGGGATGTTTGTATATGGAAAGGTGGGATGATTTGAACAACTTTTTCAATAATACCGGGTATGTTCTCTTTAATTTATTAATTTTTCTTGCTTTCTTTTCCTCTTTTGAATACTGAAATTTCTTTGGTCTTCTTTTAATCCAACAGGGCGATTGTGACGTTTGGCTTAAATGCTCTCTTGGGTAAACACAATACAAAAGGAATTCAATGGGAAGGAAAATGGAATTATAGCAATGCTGAGGCTCTTATTCAATACACCGTAGAGAAGAATTATAGAATAAATTCATGGGAGTTTGGTAAGCTAACTAATACTAGAAGTCAATTGTTCTCGGTTGGTTTAATAACCATAATTCATGCATACTGAGGCATATGTCACTACACAGGCAATGAATTGGCTGGACGTCTTAGTATTGGTGCAAGTATTACTGCAGCACAATATGCAGAAGACCTTCTCAAGCTTCGAGAAATCATAGATCGTTTGTACAATAACTCCCAACAAAAACCTTTGATTGTAGCACCAGGTGCATTCTTTGATGAGGCATGGTATGATGAATTTGTTAGAAAAACTGGACCAAAAGTTGTCGATGTTCTCACTCATCATATATACAACATGGGTGCAGGTTTGACTACTGTTCTAGCTACCATTCTCGTTATCTGTATCCAAATTGTAGTACGAGTACTAAGAACCTGTTTTTGGTGTGTAGGTAATGACCCCAAATTGATTTACAGATTCGTTAATTCTACGTATCTTTCTCAAGTATCAAATACATTTGAACAACTCGAAAATGTAATTCAAAAGAACGCCCCTTGGGCTGCGGCTTGGGTGGGAGAAGCGGGTGGAGCCTATCAGGGTGGAAGTCCTCATCTTTCCGATACATTTATCAATAGTTTTTGGTAAACAACTTTGGTTCACCTTTTTTTTTTTTTCTTATTAGAATTTCCCCCATTTGAACAGGAAAGAAAAAAGAATTCTCGGGTATTTAAAGAATGACTTGAATGTACTAGGTATTTGGATCAGCTTGGGATGGCTTCTTTGTACAATACGAAAGTATATTGTAGGCAGACTTTGATCGGTGGATTCTATGGCGTCCTTAAATCCTCAACTTTACTTCCTACACCAGATTACTATGGGTAATCAAATATCTCTTCTTCTTCTATCCTTTGATAATCATATTTATACAAACTCTCACTTTCTTTTGTATTTTCTATTAGTGCACTTCTCTTTCACCGGCTTATGGGGCCGGGAGTTCTCAAAATTAACAATAAGGTGTCTTCTGACCTTCGTAGCTATGCTCATTGCTCAAGAGGAAGAGTAAGAAGTCATTTTTAGAGTTCAATAAAATAAACATTTATTTGATACCATTAACTGATTCTAATTTATCATTTATCATTTTCTTGTAGTCTGGTGTGACCTTGCTTCTCATCAATTTGAGCAATACAACTAACTTTTTAATCACCGTTCAAAATGACATGAACATGAGTTTGCGTAAAAGCAATACTCGAACAAATGGTTCTCATTCAAAGTATAGACAAAAGAGAACCGCTTCAAGAGAAGAATATCATTTAACTCCAAAAGATGGTCTACTTCGAAGCTCCACAGTACTTTTAAATGGAAATCCATTGGAAACTACAAAAGAGGGAGACATACCAAATCTTGTACCTGTCTACCGTCAGAGCAACTCTTACATACATATTGCTAGTTGGTCCATTGCTTTCGTTGTCATTCCTGACTTTGTAACACCAGCCTGCAAGTGATTTCATTGTAACATCTTGTAAGCTTTTAAACAGTCGATGCAACTATGAAATTATGAAATGGTAGAATTGGAATGCAATAAATTTTTATGCTTTCTTTTCCTGTGTTGCTTATTGTTACAATAATTTGAAAGATGATTCGAGCATTTAGTTATCTGGAGAATTGAAAATAAAAATTTTGAGGGGAAGTTCGAAATTGAAAGTCCAAAAAATATAATATCTACTAGCAGTGGACTTGGGTGGTTACAAATGGTATCAGAGCTAAACACCGAGCGGTGTGCTAGATAGAAAGGACACTGAGCCTCAAAGAAGGTGGACACCGAGCAGTGTACTGGCGAGAACAATCGACCCTGAAGGGAGGTAGATTGTGAGATCTCACATCGATTGGAGAAGGGAACGAAGCATTTTCATAAGTGCAAGAAACCTCTCCTAACGCGTTTTAAAAACTTGGAGCGAGTCAAGTCAAAGTCAAGCAAGTCAAGCAATAATTGCAAGTGCAAGTCGTCCTTAGCTTTCATGAAATTTATGACATATTGCCATCAACATATAAAGAAAAAGATTCGATTTAGAATAAATTGTTATTTGTCAAACACTATTTTTAGTCTCCCCCCATTTCATACTCCACACCATATAGATTCTCAGCTTCAACTAACTTGATGAATCTCAGGGTTTTGAAGAACTTTAGCTTAATACAAGCACTTTCCATCCATGGGTTCTCCCAATTTCATAACCTTTTTCCTTTGCCATTATTTTCTGTTTCTTCACTATTCTCAAGCTGTTCTTCATCCTCCCTTTGACAACAACACTGATCAGGAAGCTCTGCTTTCGTTCAAATCTTCAGTCATTGACCCACATGGTGTGTTGGATTCTTGGCATCCAAACAGTTCCTTCTGCAAATGGCTTGGTGTTCTCTGCAACCTGAAAAGGTGTCGAGTCATTAGTCTCCGACTTGAACATCGCTCACTAGCTGGACCGATTTCTCCTCACCTCACCAACCTTTCGTTTCTTCGCCGTCTTGAGCTGCAGGGGAATAACTTCTCCGGGAGAATTCCACTGGAGATTCATCACCTCTTTCGGTTGCGAGTTTTGAACTTGAGTTCCAACAGCCTTCATGGAACCATTCCACCATCTTTGAGCCATTGTTCGATGATTCGTGTCGTTGATGTTTTCGGGAATGAGCTTCATGGTAGAATTCCATCAGAGCTAGGTAGCTTATCAGCACTTTACGATTTGAATCTCGGCCAAAATAAATTCTCAGGAACCATCCCTTCTTCATTTGGTAATCTATCTTCTCTCAACAAGTTGAATGTAGTTACAAATAATTTAGAGGGTCCAATCCCACATGAACTAGGTCGTCTCAATCGACTCTGGTATTTACATCTAGGAGATAACAAAATCTCTGGCAGTTTTCCAGCCCAACTGATGAACATTTCTTCCTTGAATATGTTTTCTTTACCAAAGAATCAGTTTTCTGGTGAACTTCCATCTAATTTGTTCATAGAACTAAGTAATCTTTCCATTGCGTTCTTTGGAGGAAACATGTTTGATGGCCAAATCCCTGAATCACTTTCTAATGCCTCCAAACTCGAAAGATTTGACCTATCAGTGAACCAAATTTCAGGAGAAATTCCTTCATTTTGGAAGCTAGAAAGGATTCGGGAACTGAATCTTGAAATGAACTACCTAACAAGCAATGGAAAGGAAGGCCTCAACTTTATTACTTCACTTACCAATTCAACTCACCTGAAAATGTTGTCAGTGGCCACAAATTTACTCACGGGACAGCTTCCTCGGTCCATTGGAAACTTGTCAAATCATTGTTCTAAGCTTCTTATGGCAGAAAACCAGTTTAGTGGAAGCATCCCTAGTGAAATAGGAAACTTGGGTGGCCTCATTTCTGTATCTTTACCTTCAAATTCCTTCACAGGTAACATTCCTTCTTCATTATCAAACCTCAAGAACTTGCAGGTGCTATCATTAGAATCAAATATTCTGTCAGGCTCCATCCCTGAAACGTTTGGTAATCTAAGTGAGCTCTCTCTGTTTTTAGTCAATGATAACAAATTAAGTGGAAAAATTCCTCTCAGTTTAACAAACTGTGAGCGTCTACTCGTATTTGATCTATCACAAAATGGGTTGAGCGGGAACTTACCAAAGGAGATCTTTAGCTTCCCAAATCTTTTAGAATTCAATGTTTCAGTCAACAACTTGACAGGTTCTTTGCCTTCTGAAATTGACAAGCTATTGATGGTTCAATTATTCGATGTCGCCACAAATCAACTCTCCGGAGCCATTCCAGACACCATAGGAAACTTCTTGAATCTTGAGTACTTGATCATGTCTGGCAATTCTTTCGAAGGACCAATTCCCAGTTCATTGGCCAATTTGGAAGTGGTCACTCTCGTAGACATTTCATCAAACAGGTTGTCTGCAACAATCCCTTCTCTTGATGGCCTCCAATACCTCCAATACTTGAACCTCTCTTCCAATCAACTACAAGGAGAAGTACCTAAAAGTGGCATATTTCTCAACATATCAGCCGTATTTCTATCCGACAACCCCGAGCTTTGCGGCGGCATTGTTGAACTTGGACTACCAAAATGCTCTGTTGGCTCAACTGGCAAAAGAAAAATTGGGAAATTAATTGCAGGAGTTGTTGTAGGAGGAATTGGTGCATGCCTCGCAATTGCTACGGCTTTCTTGTTCTGGACAAGAAGGAAACCAGTGGCGAAAATGGACACAGATTTGAGTTTATTGGAAGGGGTTCATAGGGCATATTCATACTACGAATTGAAACATGCGACGGGGGATTTCGCCCATGAAAATCTAATCGGAAAGGGGAGCTTCGGATCCGTTTACAAAGGCGTAACGAGAGACGGAAACTCAATCGCCATTAAAGTAATCGATTTAGACCATCGAGGTGGAATGAAAGGTTTTGTTAACGAATGTGAAGTCCTGAGAAACATAAGGCATCGGAACCTGGTGAAGATCCTGAGTGCTTGTTCCAGTTTGGATTTCAAAGCATTGGTTCTGGAATTTATGCCGAATGGAAACTTGGAAACCTGGCTTCACGGAAGAGGAGATGGGCGATCAGAGCGATGGCTGCCTCTGAAACAGAGAATAAACATAGCGCTAGACGTAGCGGCTGCAATGGAGTATCTTCACGATGGATTCGAAACTCCTGTAGTTCATTGCGATCTGAAGCCGAGCAATGTTCTTCTGGATGTAGACATGACCGCCCATGTTGCTGATTTTGGGCTGGCAAGATTTCTTCAAGATCAAGGCGATTCTACGAGCCATAGTCAGAGCATTAGCAGTGGGCTAAAAGGTTCCATCGGCTACATTCCACCGGGTATGTCATGTAAATAGACCCTAGTAGATATTTTATTATTCCTTGAAAGGGTTTAACCCTACTTCAATCGATGCCTCGCACCATTAGGTGATTAACTATTGTGTTGGCTAAGAAGTTGACCTCCAAAGCTATTGTGTTGGCTAAGAAGTTGACCTCCAAAGAAGAGGATTATGAAATCCCACATTGGTTGGAGAGTGAAACTAAACATTCTGAGTGTATGTAAATTTTTCCAAGATAAACACGTTTTAAATACCATGAGGCTGACGACGATAATAACGGGCCAAAGCAGACAATATCTACTAGCGATGAGTTTAGATTGTTATAGTTCAACTCCACCGCTAATAGATATTAACCAAAGTACTTTGGCCTGTCACTTATAGCCATCAATTGGATTTTAAAATCTGTCTGTTAGAGAGAGGTTCCACACTCTTAGGGTTGTTCACTCCCCTCTCTCTCTCTCAGATGCATTTTAATAACTGCAAGGCTGACAACGATAAGTAATGGGGCTAAAGCAAACAATATCTGTTAGCATCATACTTGGACGATTATAAATGGTATTAAAACCAAACACCAGTAGGTGTGCCAACAAAGACGCTAGCCCCAAGGGGTGGATTGTGAGGTCCTATATCAATTGGAGAGGGGAATGAACTACTCCTTATAAAGGTATAGAAACCTCTCTCTTACATACACGTTTTAAAAACCGTAAAGCTAACAACGATATATTTGTGGACTTGGGCTGTTACATTTTTTTTCTTTCTTCGGGGACTTCCATTACACCTCCATTTTTGATGCAGAGTACGGGTATGGCGTTGGAATATCGACAAAGGGAGACGTTTATAGCTATGGAATTCTTCTTTTGGAAATGCTAACCCAAAGAAGCCCAACAGATCAGACATTCCATGAAGAAGCAAACCTATCAAGATGGGTAGAAGCTGCTATTCCAAACTCGGTGATCGATATTCTGGATGAAAGATTGAAAGAACTTTGTTTTCACATGAACACAATGGATCATCTCATTAATATTTTAAATCTGGGTTTGAAATGCACAAATGAGTACCCAAATGAAAGACCCGAAATGAAAGAGGTGTACACAACAATCAAAAGGGTTCAATCCTCGCTATTCAGCTAAGCGTTCTTCGCTATCTCAAGATACTCAATTGGCGTGAGTTTATAAATAAGAAATACTTCTCTATTAATATAAGACTTTTCGAAGATCTTTCGTCAAATTTGATTTGTGGAATCCCTTCTAAACTAAACTTCGATTAAAATAATAATATTTTATAATTTCTCTTTATTATTATTATTATTATTATTATTATCATTTTAAATTATTTTGGAAGTTAATGTAGCGTTTACACTTCTATAGATTTGTATTTATTACTCTGTAAAAAAATCAGCAATTAAACTTATAATTTAAATAAAATAATTTTTGTGCAATAATATATTCTTTTAATAATGACAAAAGCTTCTTCTTACAAAAGGAAAAAACCGTTGACTCAAAAGTCCACTTAAGGGACAAATTAAAGTCAAGTTTGGAAATATGACTTTGGAGTGCTCCATTTTCGTTTATTGTTAAATTGTTTTTTAATTATAAAATTGTAATTTAATTTATTTTAAAATTAAATTTTTTCTTATCTAAAATGGTTAAATAATAAAAAAAAAGACCGAAATTATACTAATACATTTAAAATAGTAATAATCATATTTAGTAAGAAAATAAATTTATAATAGAAATAAAATGGTCTGCACCCATTGAATTGTTTTGACAAAAGAAAGTCAAACTTAGCGGAATAAATTGAGCAACTTGGAATTAAATTATAAATTTGATTCGTTAAATCCCTTCTATATTAATTTTCTGCTAAAGTAAGATTCATTTTAATAAACCAATAATTAAATTATTTTAAGTATTATCAAATCAATCTTATAAAATCATAAAAATTAAATTAAATTTATAATGTAATTAATAATAATTAAGTAAACAACAATTGTGGTGACCGGGAGCTAATCACGGTCAGTTTTGGGGAAAAGCACGTGGGAGTTTTGGTGGCATGACTTGTATCCTAGGTTAAAAATTATGCTCCCAATGTCTTTTTTATCTAATAATATTTATACAAGTCCACTTCACTGAACTTATCTACTCGGGACAGATTTTCACACTATTATAAGGAATATTTTGTTCCTCGATTTAACCGATGTGAGATCGGTTAGCAAATATTTTGTTCCTCCCTAAACTATAACAGTTCAAGCATACGGTTAGCAAATATTTCTTATAAGGTGCGGGAACCTCTCTCTAATAGACGCATTTTAAAATCGTGTGGTTGACGGTGATACATAATCAACCAAAATGGATAATATTTGTTAACAGTATGCTTGAGCTGATCTAGTTTAGGTTTATCTTGTTTTGTTGAATGTGACTCTCTCTCCTAATGAACCCTAAGGTTAGGATGGATATGTATACTTTTTGTGATTCGTGTTGCATGTTCGGTTACGTAATGAACGTGATAGATGTGCATGCATTTAATATGTAATGTGTAGATAGTCAGATGTGAATGACATGTTGTTAAGTAGATCATGAGAGTGTGTATAAGATCTTACATCGGTTAGGGTGGAAACAGGGGCGGTGTGCCAGAGAGAACGATGAGTTCCAAAAGGGGGTGGATTGCGAGATCCCACATCGATTGGAGAAAGAAACGAGTATCAGTGTGAACGATGTTGGATCTCGAAAGAGGTAGATTGTGAAATCCATTAGCGAGAAAGGAGAGCGAAGCTCAATACTAATTGGGTATGAATTTTGATGGATTAGCTTGGCTAGTGGCCCATTTTAGAGGTCCCATCGCCTTCTTCACTCGTCCACTTCACATTTGTCATTAACTCTCATTTCTCTTTTATCTATTTCTTTCTGTAGCGTTCAATTCAACAAAATCTGCCTGCCATGGCACTACTTATCCCCCAACCTTCACCAAATTTCTTCAGAATTCGCACCATACCCTTCTACATCGCAATCCTTACCTTTCCCATGGCCCAGCTCTCTCTCCTCTGTTTCTTCTTTTTCCTCTACTTCGCCGCCCCCGCCGCGTCTCAGCAGCTCTACTTCGCCGGATTCCACGACGCCGCCGCTGCAGCCAACTTATCTCTCACGGACATCGCCAAGATCGAGCCGAATGGAATCTTAAAGCTCACGAACGACACCAGTCGACTACAGGGTCATGCCTTTTATACCTCCCCTGTTCGCTTCAAAAACTCCTCCGACGGCAAAGCTTTTTCCTTCTCCACCGCTTTCGCCATCGCCATCGTCCCCGAGTATCCAACCCTCGGTGGTCATGGCCTTGCCTTCACAATCGCACCCTCCAAAACCCTCCGTGGATTACCCAGTCAGTATTTAGGCCTTCTCAATGCCACCGATGTCGGAAATTTCTCGAACCATCTCTTGGCTGTCGAGTTCGACACCGTTCAAGATTTCGAGTTTGGCGACATCAACGACAACCATGTCGGAATCAATCTCAATAATATGGTCTCTAATGACTCTACCACAGCTTCGTATTTCGTCGACGACGGACCCATCAAACAAAACTTAACCCTAAAAAGTGGGAGGCCAGTTCAAGCGTGGATCGATTATGATTCCTCTGTAAATTCCCTCACCGTCGCGCTTTCACCGTTTTCCACCAAACCCAAGAAGCCGATTCTGTCGTTTAATGTAGATCTCTCTCCCATTCTTCACGAGTTTATGTATGTTGGGTTCTCTGCCTCGACAGGGCTTCTTGCGAGCTCTCACTATGTGTTGGGATGGAGTTTCAGTATGAACGGCGCCGCCCAGTCTCTGGATCTTTCCTCTTTGCCGTCTGTTCCAGGTCCGAAGAAGAATCACACTGGTTTCACGATTGGGGTTTCCATTACGGCTTTTTTAATCGTGATAATAGCGATTTGTGTTGCTGTTTTCATCATTTGGAAGATAAAAACCGCGGACATAATCGAATCATGGGAGCTCGAAATTGGCCCTCATCGGTACTCTTACAAGGAGCTCAAGCAAGCGACTAAGCGATTTAGGGATAAAGAGCTTCTGGGTCGCGGTGGATTTGGGAAGGTTTATAAAGGGACTTTACCAAATACGAAAACCCAAGTGGCTGTTAAGCGAATTTCTCATGAATCGAAACAGGGTTTGAGGGAATTTGTGTCGGAAATTGCTAGTATTGGTCGGCTTCGACACCGGAACTTGGTTCAGTTACTGGGATGGTGTCGCCGCCGTGGCGATCTGCTTCTGGTTTATGAGTTTATGGCTAATGGAAGCTTGGATAACTACATTTTTGACGAGCCGGATGTGATTTTGAGCTGGAATCAGAGGTTTCGGATCATAAAGGGCGTTGCCTCCGGTCTTTTATACTTGCATGAAGGCTACGAACAGGTTCATAAATCAAAAAGCTAGTTGTTCGTGAGCTATTAAGTGACTGTGAATTTAACTGTTTGTTCATGTTTTCTTTGTTCACATAGGTGGTTCTTCATAGAGATGTGAAGGCCAGTAATGTTCTGCTCGACAGCGAGATGAACGGGAAGCTCGGCGATTTCGGCCTTGCGCGGCTGTATGAGCACGGGGCGAATCCAAGCACTACGCGGGTCGTCGGAACACTGGGATATCTGGCGCCAGAGCTTCCCAGAACAGGGAAGTCCACCACAAGCTCAGATGTATATGCATTTGGCGCACTGCTACTGGAAGTGGCCTGCGGACGGCGGCCAATCGACCCGAAATCGTCGTCGGAGGAATTGGTGCTGGTGGATTGGGTATGGGAGAATTACAGAGAAGGGAGATTACTGGAAGTAATGGATCCAAAATTGAAAGGGGATTTCAACGAGGTTGAAGCTGTTATAATTCTGAAATTGGGGTTGTTCTGTTCGAACGATACGGCGGCGGCACGGCCGAGTATGAGGCAGGTGGTGCGGTTTTTGGAGGGAGAAATTGGCGTTCCCGACGAGATTTCAGCGCCGAGAGTGGTGGAAGGAGGGAAGAACAGTGAAGGGTTCGATGCTTTTGTGAATTCCTTTGCTTCTTCTTCGTTTAACAAGTTTAGCACCAATTCGTTGACTGGAAATCGAGATATGGATATGAGTTTTGCTTCTATTTCCACGTCTCTTTCGCTTCTAAGTGGCAGAGACTGAGTTGTAAACAGCAAAAACAGGTCCAAGTGAGCAAAAAACAGATCAAACAGCTCCAAGGCAGCCAAAATCAAGTCAAAAAATTACGTTTTTCTTTGTTTGATCTGTAAAAAAATGTGATCTTGGAGTCAGAGATTGGGGTCCTCAAATTCTTAGTTGGTGATGTAACCTTTAAGAAAAGTAATGGTTTGTGCTGATGAGTCAAGAGTTTAATGGGTTTGACTCTGTTTCCATAAGTTTGGCCCACATTTGAATGAAATCCTTTTTCATATCTATGTGGGTTACCACTGCTCTCAAAGTTTCAAACCATGTTCTTCAAGCTCGTAATTCTGTGGTCAATGATGGTGGCCTTAGGTTCAGCTTCTTTGAAGGTCTCACTTCATTTTCAATGCCTACCAGCCTGCCAAGTCTATCACTTGATGGGCATGCCCATCATGGCTTGCTAAGTCAAAGTGCTAAGAGTCCAAGCCTACCGTTAATAATATTATCTGTTTTAGCTCGTTACGTCCTACCATCAATTTTTAATGTGTATGTTAAAAAGAAGTTTTCATATCCTTATAAAAAGTATTTCGTTTCACAATTCACCTTCTTTGAAGGCCATTGTACACACAGCTTGATGTTAGACTTTAATACTCATTTGTCTTTATGTTTCGAAAAATTGGACAAAAGACAAAGTTAAACACAAACAAAACAAAATCAGAATAAAGCAAAACATTGAAAATGTAGAAAATAGTGAAAATTTTCACGCTGTTATGTCAAGATTATAAGTTATTTACAAATAGGAAAATGGTACCACAATAAAGAAGAATACAAAATCAACCCTAAAAGAATACAACTAAATGAAGGCTCGGGCGACACCCTTTTGTAACTGTGTAGCTCCCGAGCACCTCCCATTTTTCCTTTTCTTTCTTTTTAGGTACGAGTCGTGGAGAGGTGAAACATTCCACTAGGGAAACATTCCACGAGGGGAAGTCAAAGGAAAAACTCAAAAAAGTACATGAATGTTTTAATTTTCAAGTCCATGTGATTGGGCAAACTGCGCACGTTTTTTAAAAGCATTTATTAATTAAAATTTCATATTATTAGCTGCACTCGATTTTATAATTTGGCATGGGATAAGGAAGTAAGTAAAAAATATTGTATTGAAATAAATAAAATATAATTTTTTTAGAAAAACAAAAATGACGTGGATTTATATAATTGTAATTGTTTGGATTATTCAAATTGAAGACGTGCGGATGGCGACAACGTATAATAATTAATGCTAATTATTTATTTATAAATTAATGTAATGTAATTAGCTGGGTAGTTAAAGGCTCAAAGCGTAAATTCCACGCTCTAACAAGCGGCGGCGCGTTTGCTGTTGAAGGTTCCACGCAATTTACTTTAACCTTAATTCTTTTCGTCTGCTGCGAATCTCTTTGTCTCTCCATTTTACTACAGCACTTAAAAAGGCGAAGCGTTTCTGCAATCTTGGCATCCTTTCTTACGACCATTTTTGGATTCTTGAAGCTTCTTGGCGTCCGTTTATTTATGAGCATCGAATTTGAATCGGTAATTTCAATCAATTTCTTTACCAAACTTTATATAGTTAGGGTTTATTCGTAAAGGAGTTCGTGCCATTCTTTCGATTGATCGATTTTTGGGATCGACATCTTTGTGCTACAGATGCAATGGATTCTTCAGGGTTCGATCTCGGGACCTAGATTCGGTCTGTTGTCCTGTTTCCGGTTGAGAATTCGTTGAAGAATTTGGGTTACCGTCATCTCTATCTCCGTTTGATCATCGATTTCCAGCTACTGCGATGTACCACGACGACGCTTCCGAACCAGTCCCTTTCTTCGTGCCGAGATTGCGTCGCAGCGGAAGAAATAGCGAGGATCGCTCCCCTTTCAATCGTATCATTGTTCTACGCAACCCCTCTAATGTTGGCGCTATTAGTAATAATGATATTGGAGGTGGAGGAAATTATGAGATTTATTATGATGATGGTACCGGGGCTAGCCTGCGCCCTTTGCCTTATAATATATCCGAGTTCTTGATGGGAACGGGGTTTGATCGTCTTCTCAATCAATTAGCGCAGCTGGAGGTGAACGGGGTTAGCCCATTGGAACAACCACCGGCTTCTAAGGCTGCAATCGAATCATTGCCTGTGGTTAAGATTCTTGATAGTCATGTGCCTATGGAATCGCATTGTGCGGTCTGTAAGGAGCCATTTGAGCTCGACTCTGAAGCTCGAGAAATGCCGTGTAAGCATATTTACCATTCGGATTGCATACTTCCTTGGCTTTCTATCCGGAATTCTTGTCCTGTTTGTAGGCACCAGTTGCCTACCAACAGTGGCAGAAGCTCCCCTGCGTCTGCTGAAGACATTGTTGGATTAACAATTTGGAGGCTTCCGGGTGGGGGATTTGCTGTTGGAAGGTTTACTTGGGGTAGGGAAGCTACCCAACATAACCTTCCTGTTGTTTACACTGAAATTGATGGTAGTTTTAGTACCACCAGTGGTGTTCCAAGGAGGATTACATGGGCGTCAAGCGGAGGAAGATCAAACGAAGGTGGTGGTTTTCGTCGTCTTCTACGCAGTTTCTCCTCCTTTTTTGGGAGGTTTAGAAGTTCATCCCGTCGTTCTAGTTCGGGACCTGGTTTGATATGAAGGAGCTTCTCTGCTACGTTAGTTAATAGACGCTCAAGGAGGAATAATCACCCTATGGCCTCCGAGTCCGAGGCGAACTATAAGTTTCCTTCTTAGTTATACTTATACAGAGGTTGAATTCCCACACCATGTACTCTCTTTAGAAATTGCACGACACAGAATGCATAACGGCCCTTTGGACGACGTGTAGATGTCCAATTTTTGTTTTATTAGGTGTTTATAAGCTATACATCAAAAAAGAAATACAGGATTCAATAACTTAAATGTAGCTGACTGGAGAATTTTTGACACTGTGGGAGACATGTATATATAGAGATAGGAAGGGGGAGGGCTGTACAATCTGCCTGATCAACGGTTTTTGGCAGTTCAAGTATTTGGTTGTCTTTTGCTGTTTGAGGACAGAATGATGTCTAGTAGCAATGTAACCTTGTAACTTCACTGCAAAGCAGGTCTTATCCTTAAAAAAATATGAAAATCTACTGTTTTTAGTATGTCTGTTTCCTTATCTTTCATGGTTTTAAGTTAAAAATTCATCTCTCAGACATTGCTTAGAGGCATTCCGTTTCTGTTGTACGATGATTCTTAAGGAACACTTATTGCGTCTTTAGCTTACTCTTATTACATCTTTCTCACAGATTTCATCTCACTCAAGTATCAAAATTACCCCATCCCACCGTTCCCCTGTTCCGTCTCTGGAGGAGGATCCAACCTTTTTAAGGAAGGCAGATTGACAAAGCTGATAGGGTGGGGATAATTTAATACTCAGGTAAGGTCTCTTTTGTATTATTACATTGAAGAACTTTTCATTCAGGGCCATGGTAGAGATTTTTGTTTATAACAAGTTGATTAATGTGCATTATTATCAAACCCATGCTGGTGTACTCAAATAGGCTCTTGGCTCTAGAAAAAGCTCAAGTATTCATTGGCTTTCTCGTTTGAAACCTTTATGCACATTTGTATGTTGGCCACCCACATGCTTGTTATCTTTTTCTTTTGATATTTGTGTGTTTGCCCCAGCCTACATACAACTTAACTAAACTATTCCCATGAGACAATCGTCTAAGCCCACTCCAGTTCACCGATATACTTAATATCATAAATGTAATGTTGGGCTTGGGCTTGGGCTTGGGCTGTTACAAAGCCAGACACAAGGCGGTGTGCTAGAGGGAATATTGGGCGCCCAAAAAGGGTGAATTGTGAAATCTCTACATTGGTTGGAGAGGAGAACGAAACATTCCTTATAAGGGTATAGAAACCTCCCTCTAATAAATGCGTTTTAAAACTATGAGTATATCTGTTAGCGATAGGATTTGATTGTTATAAATGGTATCAAAGGCAGAAACTAGACGGTGTACGAGCGAGGATGCTGGAACTGGAGTTGTTGGGTTGTTATAGTAAAAATCGTTTCTTAATGTAAAGATTCCAATTCAATGCATGTGCAACTTGAGGAGTTTTCTAACTTGATATCAAAACCAAATGTAGCTTTATTCCAAGTGTCGTTTCCTTTATGCTACCAATCAGAGGATACCAAAGTGCTTTCTTTCTTGTATGAATTGTCAGCACAACAGCCTGTACTCCTTTTCCATGGTTGATTACTGGGAGAATGAATGGAAGTTTATTCGTTTTGTTTGCCATAAGAGAAGTAAGTTCACATGTCTTAGAGAACTTTTTCGAAATTTGTGCTGATTCCTGTCTAGTCATGTCATCAGCTGCTGTTGTAAGCCAAGCTATGATTGTTGGAATTTTGTACTGATATCGTAACGTAAAGGACAGAAGGCTCATCCAGATCAAGATGAACCGAGGAGCTCTGTTTTGTTATTGGAAATGGAGGTTCTTTGTATGATGCAAGATGACGGCTTTTCATGTCTTATACCATTTGGATTTTGGATTTTGTCTGTGAGAAGAGACAAGAGACTGGACAATGCACTCCACTAGAAAGTGCAAAGGATGTTTGGATTTACTTACCCATGTTTCTTTGTTTGGTTGTCTAAGTTGGAGTTCTTGACACGTTTTTCCACTCTGCTTTTGTCACTATGAAATGGATTTCGGTTTTTTTTTTTCTTTTTTTGGTGTAAAAATGGAAGTATGGTCCGTTTTGTATTTTCATTTCAAGTGATTCTCTTAAAAATTTCAAAATATGTCTACTAAGAAAAGATTTTCACACTCTTAGTTTTTCTCTCCAATCAATGTGAGATCTCACAATCCACTTATTTGGCAAGTTGGGCTAGTGTCTTTACTGGCACAATCGATAATTGGTTTCGATACCATTTATAATAACTAGTCTCACAGTTTTAAAATGCGTAGGGAGAAAGAATGTTTTATTTTTTCTCCCAATGTTAGATTTATTTTTTGGGTTGGTAGAGCTTTTTTTTTATTTAGTTATAAAATGTATTAACTTTCCAAAAAAATGACACCATAAAATCCAGATGGTGGGCCATCCTTATCCACACAAAACATCAGAGCCTGAAGTCGGACAAAGCCTTATCCATATTTGATCTCCAAAACATCTCTTTATCCATATTCAATCCCATTCTGACCATCAAAATATAAGCGCAAAACCTCGATCCATTCAAACGCTACCTTCGATCATGGCGTCCTTGTGTTCATTTCCACGCATTTCTTCTGCAGATCCCATCAAGCATCCCGCCGCCGCCCCTTTTCCGCCGTCCAATCACCCGAAAAGACCATCAGCGTTGTCTCTCCGGCAGAGCAGCCGCAACCAGAAAAGAACTTCTACGATTGTCGCCGCCATCGGAGACGTCTCCGCTGACGGCACCACGTATTTGATCGCCGGCGCCGTCGCTGTGGCTCTCGTTGGTACCGCCTTCCCTATCCTCTTCTCTCGCAAAGACCTGTAAGCAAAATCTCAATTTCTCCTATAAACCATTTGTTCATATTGAAATCATTTTAAAAATGCCGTTTAGTACCGCTGTTTGAATGGTCTGGTCCTCCGTAGGTGCCCGGTGTGCGACGGCGCAGGGTTTGTCCGGAAGTCGGGGGCGGCGCTGAGGGCGAATGCGGCTCGTAAAGACCAAGCTCAGATCGTTTGTTCTCGTTGCAATGGCCTGGGCAAGCTCAATCAAGTGGACAAATAAATTACTTTATTTTATTTTATTTTTTATTTTCCGCCCTTTCCTAATGTGACTGTAATATAATATTAAAATATATTATAAGTCTATGTACCTTGAGCTTATTAAACATTTAGACTTATAATATATTTTAATACCATACATTCTACTAAAATCTCATGATTTTAATTCAGAAACCTTCCAATTATTAATTTAATGGTTTTGCTGATCTGGCAGGCAATTAAACGTGGCATTACTCTCTCTTAATATAAATATCCACGTGGCAACGTCAATGTTGACTCTGGTTCGGCGACCAATTTACTGACTGTTTGTTCTCCACGTGTTATTTTCATTAAAATATATATTTATAAAATAAAAAATTATAAATTCAATTAATATTGCCAAAAATAATAGAGTTAAATATGTTGCATTCTTGCACTATAATTATTATTTTATTATTCATTGAATTGAAACACCTAGGTGTCCTTTTCCAATAATTTCCCCAAATACGGTAGCCAAATTTTACATTCAATTTTAATTTTAAAACAATTTATAGCCTTCTTAATTACAAATTTATTATTTTTAAATTTGTTTAACTTTTGATTTGAATCTAATAGATGTATTAATTATTATTATTATTATTTTGGAATTTATTGATTTTCTTTTAATAATTGGTCTTTTTTATTGTCGGATCTTTGCAGGGGAGAAGTTTCTCAAAGGATTTCAAAGATTTTATGAACAATCTGTTCTAATAAACCAAAACAGAGCACACGAATTTCCTCAGATTCTTTTCACTCTGCTTCTTCCGACAGCCCCAAAAAACTTGGAATTCCAATTTTCTAGGAAGCAAAGAAGAACATAATGAGGGATTATTGGATAAGTTTAAATCCCTTGAACAACCCATTTCTCAAATATTGTTTCTCTTTCTTCTTAATTTCTCTGGTTTTTGTCTTTCAAAATCCATTACTCTGTTTCTCATTGAACCCAGCCCTTATTTTGCCCCTCAAAACCCAGGTGATTCCGCCTGAATCCGTCTGGCGATCTCCTGACAAGCTCCCTTTCCGGCATAACGTCAGCCTTACCGTCTCTTTGACTGTCGGAACGCCGCCGCAGAATGTCACGATGGTCATCGACACCGGCAGCGAACTCTCATGGCTCCACTGTAACAGATCACAAAACTCCTCTTCTTCATCTTCAACATTCAACCCAGTCCAGTCCTCTTCATACACTCCTATCCCTTGTTCCTCCTCCACGTGTACCGACCAAACAAGGGATTTTCCGATTCCGGCATCGTGTGATTCAAATCAGCTCTGTCACGCTACTCTGTCTTACGCCGACGCCTCTTCTTCAGAAGGAAATCTCGCCGCCGATACGTTTTACATCGGCAATTCCAGTATTCCGAATGTCGTTTTCGGCTGTATGGATTCAATTTTCAGTTCCAACAATGTAGAAGACTCTAAAAACACCGGATTAATGGGTATGAATCGTGGATCTTTGTCTTTTGTTTCTCAAATGGGTTTCCCCAAATTTTCATATTGCATATCGGAATATGATTTTCCCGGTTTGTTATTACTCGGAGATGCCAATTTTTCATGGTTGGCTCCGTTGAATTACACTCCAATGATCCAAATATCCACGCCATTACCGTATTTCGATCGAGTCGCTTACACGGTTCAATTGCAAGGAATCAAAGTTTCCAACAAGTTACTTCCAATACCGGAATCGGTCTTCGAACCGGACCACACCGGGGCCGGTCAGACCATGGTCGATTCAGGCACACAGTTCACTTTCCTTCTCGGGCAAGCTTACACCGTTCTCCGAGACGAGTTCCTGAACCAAACCGCCGGTTCGCTTCGTGTTTTCGAGGATCCGAATTTCGTTTTCCAAGGAGCCATGGACCTTTGCTACCGAGTTCCTACGAATCAAACCCGTCTCCCGCCGCTGCCGGCGGTGACGCTGGTGTTTCGCGGCGCCGAGATGACAGTTACCGGCGACCGTATTCTGTACAAGGTGGCCGGAGAAATAAGAGGGAACGATACGATTTATTGCTTTACATTCGGAAATGCGGATCTTCTGGGCGTTGAAGCGTACGTGATTGGGCATCTCCATCAACAAAACGTGTGGATGGAATTCGATCTGAAAAAATCGCGGATCGGGTTGGTGGAGATCCGGTGCGATTTAGCGGGTCAGAAATTGGGCATGGGCCTGTAATGTACATGACCCGGGCTCATTTGATGGAAGCGTTTTAACTATCGGGGTGGGCTCGGCACTTTATATTCATTAAAATCTAACGGGCTTTCGTGTGTAGTCGTAGGTCCATACTGTTATGGTGGTCCTTCAGCCTTTAATACCGTCCGTGTGTGGGTCCCTTACCATCTGTTTTTATTTAAAAAGAAAACAAAAATGAGTTTGATCTGACGGGTGTAGTGAGATTGAGTGAGCTGCGATGTCGCCACGTGTAAGAATAGATTTTCTTTTCTTTTTTTTTTCTTTTTCCGCCCTACAAATTTTAAATATTCATGAAATATTAATTATTAATATAATATGTTTTTTTAGACAATATTGTATGCGTGACATAAGCTACCAAATATAACTACATTTAATGCATATACATATTTATACTCCACATCAGTTGGAGAGAGAAACAAGTATCATTGAGGACGTTGGACCTCAAAAGATGGTGGTTTGTGAGATCCCATATTGGTTGGAGAGAGAAACGAAACATTCCTTATAAGGGTGTGAAAACCTCTCTTTAGTAGACGCGTTTTAAAAATCTTGAGAGGAAGTCGAAAAAGAAAACCCAAAGAGGACAACATCTATTAGCTGTAAGTTTGGGTCGCTACATTTTGCATATCTTTTGTCAATTCACTGCAGATACAATTGCAAATTGTAACATGATCGTACCAAACAAAGACCGTTGTGATTGTTAACGAGTAGTTTACCAGGCCTAGAATCATTGCTAGGGAAGGCAACCACCTCTTAATTGCAATCGTTAATAGTGTCCAACATAACATGTCCCTACAGTGGATAGATATTGTTATGGATTGACACCAAGAATGGCAAGAGAGGAGTGAGTGGGCGCACATAATTATCGATCCAGACAAGGTAGAGCTGTGTATACAAATTTACAGTAAATGGATAGAAAGGGACGTTGTTTTGGTATGCTCGTTGTTAAGGATTGTTGAAGTTTCAAATTGGTTAGGTAAGAGACACTATGTTCAATACGGATAATATCATGCTAATGAGAGATTTGATGTTTCTATCACTTGTATTCGATGGCTGAGATCAATTGTATAGATCAACGCTTTCTTCAACGATGAGCTCTTTTTCAGCATTGTCAACGATACCTTTGTCGTCATTTTCATCAAACCCTTCAAAATTGATGTCGTTCAAATCACACGGGACAAATAGACAAATAATCATCGTTATATTCCGGAAAGGTTATAGGCTAAAACAATATTTAAATTTATTTTATATTTGAGACCAAATTATTCATTTATTATGTTTTTTTATTTAAGAAAGAGAGTTTATTTTTAAAAGAAATTTAGATATTAAACAAATGGAAATATTATAGTATCACACGCAATTAGCTTCCAAACAAAGTAAATTACTGTTTAGTACCCACCCAAAAGGGCAACGATTTCGTTGAAGGACCAATAAACCAAAGCCCAAATCCGTAAAACGCAATCCACCGGTAGCCGCTCCCCTTTCTACATTTAAGCGCGGTTCTTTGTTTCTGTACATACCATTTCGCACCAGAATAAGTCCTTTCCCCCGCCGGAGCCACCGGACCCTCCTCGCCGGTGGGCTTCCCTCGCCCGCTTCCCAATAAGATGAAGCGGGCCTTTTCCTTCTCTCCTTCTGTCGCCGTCGTCGTCTTGGCAATCTCCTTTATCTACTTCTCTACGATCTTCATCTTCATTGACCGGTGGTTCGGCCTCATGTCCTCGCCTGGAATTATGAACGCCGTCGTTTTCACCGCTGTGGCTCTCATGTGCATCGCCAATTACGTCCTCGCTATCTTTACGGATCCCGGTCGGGTCCCCTCGACCTATATGCCTGATATAGAGGATTCTGAAAACCCTATTCATGAGATCAAGCGTAAGGTACTCAATGCTAGGTTTTTCCTTTTAATTTCTTTTGCTTTCATCGTTTCCTCTGTTTATTTGGTAGCTACGTTCTTTCGCGGAGTTAAAGCTGTTTGGTTTGTGGTAATAAGAATCCTTAGTACAACGTTGATGTAGATCTTATTCCCTTGATCTCATTCTGAATGTGTTTTGGAATTGAAGTTGAAAAAAATTTAGTCAGTGCCATGGCGAATTAATAATTCGGTCCATTATTTCTTGGTTGAGTTTCGCTATCTTTCTATTTGTGTTAGATCAATTAGTTGCCAACTTGTTAGGTAATGAGCAACCTAGCGAATTAAAAGCATGCTTCTATGAGTCCTCTTGATCTGAAAATTATGTAAAGGCGGATGAATTTGTGGAGCTTGATTGGCGTTTAGGAGACTCATTTTCATATAAACAGAACTAATTCATGAAGGAAATTTGTTTTCGTTTTCATTGTTATGAGCTTTGAAGAATTGGATCTTGTTGATTATATTACAGGGAGGTGATCTGAGATACTGTCAAAAGTGTTCTCAATATAAGCCTCCACGTGCACATCATTGCCGAGTTTGCAAAAGATGCATTTTACGAATGGTATGTATCGTCTTTATAACAGTTATCTACCCCTTAAAATTTTGTGTAGGTGTTGTACTAAATGTTGTTAATAAAATGTAAAGGACCACCATTGCATTTGGATAAATAATTGCGTCGGCCATGAAAACTATAAGGTGTTCTTCGTGTTTGTCGTGTATGCTGTGGTCTCGTGTATCTACTCCCTGGTAAGTCATTTGATGCAATGTGATTTAGACTCTCCATTAGCTCATTTACTCATTCGATCTGTTGATTCTTTCTTTGCTTCCGAGCCAGTTTCTTTCCTTGTGTTTTACTTATTGAAGTAGTTGTTTGCTCGCTCCTTATATTGTTAAAATTATGTTTCATTGTTTGTTGGATCTTCAGGTCTTACTAGTTGGCAGTCTTACAATTGATCCTTCTAAGGATGAGCAGCAAATTGGAAGCCCTTTTAGAACTGTATATGTAAATTCATACTCCGCCCTTCTTTTTTTTCCTCCTTTTGAAACTCGTCATGCTTATTTTTCCTTCACTCGGTGTTTGGTTTATATTAGTTGGTACCCTCATTGTCATTGATACAGGTTGTTGCTGGACTGTTGCTAATTCCATTAAGTATGGCTTTAAGTGTTCTTTTAGGTTGGCATGTTTACCTAATTTTGCACAACAAGACTACAATAGAGGTTAGTTTCTAAAGGGTTTTGTTTATTGTCTGTTTGTTTGCCAGTGACTTTCCAATTGAGGCAGATTTAATATGCATTTTGTTTGCCTTCTAGTATCATGAAGGGGTAAGAGCTATGTGGCTTGCGGAGAAAGGTGGGAATGTGTACTCACATCCATATGATCTTGGTGCCTTTGAGAATCTTACCACGGTACTTACTACTGCTTGTTTTTGCTTCCCTTCTTTTGCCTGATTTTTAGGTGAGAGAAATTGTTGATAATTTGAAATGAAGTGGGGGTCATTTAACTTAAATGTTCGTTTTGACACCTTAAAAAGGAAATGCTTGAGGCTTATTCATGTCTATGGTTGATCATGAAGGATAGGAAGTATCGTGAAGCGTGGAAAATGTAATGTATTTGCTGCATAATGAATTTACTTAATTGTCAGGCTTTCATCTTTTTTGCTTTCAAACGTGACATTTATTAGATTGTTCAACCTATAATGCATTCATCCATTGCCTGGTAGCTTTAATGGACACATGAAATATAACAGATGGGGCTGCATAAATATAGTCCTTTTTTATCGTCTTCAAAAACGTTTGTAACTATGGTTTTCTTAACTCGATATTTTAAAATATAGCTGGGTGTTGGACTACCCAGAGTCTTGCCTTTATGCTATCTGAGCTGTTCTATCTCATTTCAACAGATTCTTGGCCCAAATATATTAAACTGGATATGCCCTATGTCGAGACATAAAGGCTCTGGTCTTCGCTTCCAAACGGCCTATGACAAATCAATTAGCACATCGAAGTGAAAAGGAAAGTTTCATTTCTACCCTAGACATTTGTTTTAGAAGAACGAGCTATGCAGCCCTCAACCACCATCAGGGATTCATATTTACTGAGGTCTTCACCCAGGGATGGTTCTTTGAAGAACCCAAATCTCAGACAGCATTGTGACGGTTGAAATAGATACATTGCCATGACTGCCGTGACTCATTGGCTAGTTACTGAGATTATCTATTCCAACCTTTTTCTTGTCAACATCAAGAGCTCAGCAAATCTGTTTCAGGTATCATTTATCCTTTCTTGTTTGTTTTTAGGGGAAAAAAAAAATACCATTTGAAGTTAGGGTCTGCAGAATGTCGAGGACGACGCAGTTCATAGGTTGATGTAGAAATGAGAGATCCCAGATGTGGGCGGGTGTTTGTGTACATGAGTTTATTCAACACGCTAACAAATTGTTTTGTGTAGTTGTAGCTCCTTAACTTATAACAAAAAAGGAGGTAAAGTGCAATTAAGATGAAGGAAATATTTTGTTTTTTCTTTGAAATCTTTCATTTGTGGTATTACTGCTTAGTTTTTACTTGTTTCTCCATCGAATTCTTCACTGTGATTGAAGCTAATGCTCTCCACATTCAAAATTCTCAAGCTTTTTTTGTCAGTTTTTATTTCTGACTAGAAATGGAGGATTGATGAAGAAGCCAGAATCCACCACATCAATGTACATTCATATACTAGATTCTTATAATTGCCTTCTCCTTCCTTTATTAATCTTGAGGTGAGAATTTCTTTTCCTTTTAATCTGGCGTTTATAGAATGAGATGCATTTATATGAAGTTGATTAACCAATACCTCCTTTAGTTCCTGCCATAAAAGAAGTGCTCTATTATTTGATTTCTTTCTTGTTCTTTATGTTGTTATGGAGAATCAGAATCAAGCTCTTCCTCCTCTTCTTCTCTACCTCGTGGGTTTACATTAATAAAACTCTATAATTTGATATATGTCACGGGGTAAATATATCCGACTGTTGGAATATGAAGCCCGTGTGATTTGAAACGGAAGCTCATGTCGTCTCTGTCAAATGTTGACATTGTTCAAAATAGATCATGTGTCTTTCTTTTGCCAAACACTGTTGATTGTTCTATAGCCATTAGAGACTAAAGTATCCCGATACTAGTAGAACTCCGTCCAAATTGATAGCCTCTACGATAAGCAAGCTCTGGAGTCTCAGACCCCTAATATCCTTCTCCAAATCTAACGAGTTTGACACTCTTGTTGAGAGATTTGTCATCCAATCAATGGCTGCTTGCAAATTTGGCTTTAGCTTTATCATACTAAGAAAACAGAACAAGGTAATTTTTTCTCGTTTACAAAAACAGGTTTCATCAAGGCGTCCATCATTCAGAAACATTTTCTCTGTTTTTATATTTTCTAATTTTACAATTATTACAAATAAGTAAATTGAAAAATATGTAATTTCAAAGATAGGTCTAACTTGAACGATCTTCGTGATAAAATTTGTACTCTATTAATATTTGAATATAATAATATCAATGGAGATTTCAGAACCCTATGCTTAAATTGAGTTGGAATTACTTTCCCTACATTATCCGGAACCTAAGATTCTGAAAAGACGAGCAAATGCAAAAGACAATTTCCCAATGCAGCTACCAACCGCTATCCCTTTAAAACAGCTCAGTGATGAGAGGAATGGGGTTGGGGGAATGGAGGAAGCAACTCCCTCGGGCCACCCACGTGAACTCGAAATGGACGTGTCTATATCTCTCAGTGCCGCGCACCAATTAGCCCCAACTCCCCCAACTTTGTTGCCCACTCTCTCCCCCCCTTTTCTGGGTCTGATTTGATTTGAAAAGATCGCTAAACACTCTCCTGCGAACTGACCCATAATACCAACCTATCACACAAATCTTCGACCCTTTATATACCCAGAACTTTCCTCTTCCTTTTCTGGGTTTCTGGGTTTGCGTCTCTGAATCTGATCGATTTTCTTGTCTTCCGGATTGAGATGGAGGAGAAGGAACACAACCCAACTGAGATCAACAGGTTTGGCATCTGGTTTTTTAAAGATTCTTGCTCTAACCGACTCTTTTATCAGTTTTCGAATCTGTTTCTTGTACTGTTTAATCTTGGTCTAGTTCTAAAACGTTGGATGTGGATCGAGATGGGGTTTTTGATTCATTTCTGTTGCTTAATGTTTTTAGCGTCTGATCATTGGATTTCACTTATTCCCCGTTCTAGAACCTCCCTCAACCCTATATTCATGAAGTAATCTATATTCATGAAGTAATTTTGTGAGAGATTGAAGCATTTTCTCTTGTACTTCCTGTCTTGCATCTTTTATCCTGTTTCTTGTCTGATGAATTATGTTGTTTTTTGTTAAATTTTGCAGTTTCTATGAGATTTCCAAGAAAAGAAAACTGCCAGCTGAACACTTGGGCTTGCCTTCACCAAAACATAAACACATCAATGAAGCCTTCTCTTCCAAATCTGTCTTTCTTCATGGTGGCCTACCCGAAACCGAGCTTATGACTGTACAATTCTCAAAGAGTAATCTAAATGTAATGTGTATCGACGAGGGGTCGACGCCTGAATCGTTAAAAGATAGCAATAGCTTCAGCGACCAGTCCGATTCTGCAACATCGGTATTCTGTGGAGCAAAATTGGAACTGAATCAGGCTTTATCTTGCACACATGATAGTTCTGAAAGCACCCATTTCTGTGTTGGAAGTTCCACAGCAATGGAATCGAGCTCGACCGAACAGGAAGTAGCGTTTGCGAGCGTGGAGAGCAAAATGGAAGCAATTCACAAAATTCAGGAGCATATGCTAGAATTGGATAGCCATGAAGAACATGTAAATGATGATCGTGAGCAATGTACAGAGCAGGAACTTGAGGATCTTTTCCGTTCGAACGGGCTGAACCCGAATACATATGCTCTTTCGTCCGGTAGATGGACAGTAAACCACGGTAATAAACACATGATCCATAAGAATTTTGATCCGTTCCATGTGCATTCACATTTATCCATTTACTAAATCACACTCAATTCTCTTGATTCAGAAGCTCAATCAAGAGCTAGAACACCAACGATCGATCTAGAATTCGAGCAGTTCTTCTCTATGTTGATGCTATAGCCGTGAATGCGTTCGTTTGACTATGAGCTAACCAAAATGTATATAGTTCAAATGCCATAGTCTTTATTAATTACATGGATATCAATTCCATGTTGATGCTGTAACTCTGAAGTTTACAGAAACAACAAAATGAAGAATCAAAGAGAGAAAAGAGGAGAGATTCGTGAAGAGTTTATACAAAAGGCAGGTTTTATTTGTTCTAAAGAAAACAGAGAAAGGAAACAGAGTAAAGGAAACCCACTCTGTTTCCTTAAAACAGAGCACACACGACGAAGAGGGATAAAGAAAGGAATCTGGGGATGTTTTAAATTTACAAACATTGAAGAAAGAACAAAAGGAAAACCCAGAAATCAACACTTTGGAAGATCGGCTGGCGGCGGCCGTAGTTTCTGGTCGGATTTTGGGCCGTCGAGGACAATCCATGCCATTCTCAGCCCCCAGCTCGTGTGGACGTCAAAATGGCAGTGCATGAACCAAACCCCTGTTAACCAAAATTTGAATGTGATATAAAAATGGAACATTCTGAATGGTGAAAGACAAATTGTTACCTCACCTGGGTTATCGGCGTAGAAACGGAAGGCCAACCAGCCGCCGGCGGGAACGCCGGCAGTGTTCCTCTCAACCGGGTCAACCAGATTGAAATTAGCTGGATCCTTATTCATGTCGAAATTCCCAAAACCTTCTCCGACTATAAAGAAATTATATCCATGAAGATGGAGCGGATGACTCTCTGCCCCCAGAATACTCGTCCCCTGTAAAACGACTTCCACGCTCGCATTAAACGGCAGCACTACCACACTCGTACTGTTACTCACAAATGTATTATTGAGCGGCACTCCGGTGTAGTTGAAGGGAAAAACCGGCTTGCCGGAAAATTAGTTCGGTAAACCCCATTAGTCCGGCGGGAGAAATACGCCTGCAGAATCGCCGTCTTCGGCAGGGCAAAAGAGACATTATTAACAGCGGCAGCGAATTTCGTACCGTTGGGACCTTGACACGTGACGTTTTTCGGACATGGGGCAGTTCCAAGTCCGACGGTGAAGAAAAATTTCCTGTCGACGGTTTGTGGGACATTGGCAGGGAATTTAGCATTAGCAAGAGACCGGAATTTCCTCGAGAAATTGGCGACGAAATTCGTGTCGTTAATTGCCGGGAGATTGGGAAGTTGAGTGGTCGGAGTTGGGGTGGTGGGTGAGTCGCCGTACTGGAGGATTCCGATGGTGGTGGAATTGTCGAAAGTACCCTGGCCAGTGAAGTACGGTCGAGCCGCCATGAGGAAACTGGCGTTGGTGAAATTGGGATTTGTTTTGAGAAGAACATTGGAGGTTTGGCCGGGGGTGAGCAATATCACGTTCGTTTGGAAGGGCTTGACGTAAACGGCGTCGGCGTCGACGACGGTCAGAGAATGGTTGGCGATGGTGAAGAAAAGCTCGTCGTTGAGTGCAGCGTTGATTAATCGGAGTAGGTATGTTTTTCCAGGCTTCACTTTTAGCTTGAATGTATCTGAAAATCAAAATTTAATCATTTTTAGTGTGAAATAAACAAGATTAATGGAGGGATTAAAGTGATTACCGTTAGAAGAGGAGCAATTATAAAGAGGGCCAGGGAGTCCATTAATGGTGTACGCATCAGAAACATTCGGCGCTCCTCCGGTCTGCAGCGCCTGCTGAATCACACTCTCCGGCTTCACATTGAACCACTCACCGAAAATGATTGGGGCTTCTCTGTGGGGCTTCTCGAACGGATATGACTCATTCCGGCGAGGGAGGATGATAATGGCGCCGTGAATTGTAGCTCTGAGCCACGAGATATGGCCGTGCCAAAGCAGAGTTCCTCTTTGGCCGTTGAGTGAAAAATTGTAGGTGTAAGCTTGGCCGGTCTGGATCGGACATTGGGTCACATAAGCCGGTCCGTCGGCCCAACCGGTTCGGATCTGCCGGACGCCGTGCCAGTGGATGGTGACGTTCTCAGCCACGTGGTTGATGACCTTGATCAAGACTCTGTCGCCTTCTCTGGCCACCACCGGCGGCCCGGGGAGCTGCCCGTTGACGGTTAGAATCTTCACCGTATGGCACAGCCTTGTCACGTTCTGGTACCCTATCTGTAAAACCCGCCGCAAGTCATTATTCCACGCTGTTCCGGTCAACTTTTTTTTAAAAACATTATTTTATATTTAAAAATAAATAAAAAAGAAAAGAAAAGAAAGATGGCCATACATTGAAAGTGTAGTGTCTGGTTATCCCGAACGCAAGCTCCGGCAAGAAACACGACAGAAGTGAGAGAAAAACAGTCAGAGCCGCCATTGATGAAGGCTCTGAAAGGCGGATGGCGGCCATGGAAATTCAGTAGCTGTGGAAGAAGATGAATAAATGGGGGTTAATAAATAGAGAAAATTTGATTTTTATTTTATTTTATTATTATTTTATAATTTCACACAGTTTAATTTGAACAACCATGATTATGCTTTATATTTCTTTAAAATTAAGGAATTTCTTGTTGAATTGTTTCATTTCATCACACTGTTCTTCTTTTTGTTCCTTGTTCTTTTGTAGGTATACATTTAAGTTTAAGTCAAGTTAATTATAGAATATATTTCATTTCTATTTATACGTAATTATCTCTATATATGTTCGTGTTA